GAACGTTTTTTTTTTGTTTTTTTTTTTGAGAGAGAGAGAGAGAGGGAGAGAGAGGGAGGGAGGGAGGCTAGGTGAGAGAGAAAGGGAGAAACATCAATGTGAAGGATACACAGCGATTGGTTGCCTCCTACATGTGCCCCAACTGGGGCTAGGGATCGAACCTGAAATCCTGGTACACGCCCTTGACTGCGACCTTTTGGTGGGCAGGGCCAAAACTCTAACCATTTAGCAACACTGGCCAGGGTAGAAATGAAATACTGTATTGACGGCAGTGAAGAGCACAAATGTTACTTCTCCACCAAAAAGGGAGAAAGGGGCTTAGAAACTCCAGGGGAAAGATTATACAGGACAGCTGAGGTTATGTGTAAAACAAAGGAAATTGTCACATGATTTTGAGTAATTGATAAAATCTACAAAAAAAAGAACCCATTTGCCTGAATGCAGTAAACATCCTCCTTATGGTTGCACAAGAGTCACAGCATTCCAAGTGGGGAAGGAAACTTATTAACTGTTGATTCACTACAACACTTGGCGTCAACATATAGACAAACATGGCTGGAGAACAGGACAGGATGTATGTGTATGTTCATCTTGATATAAAAGTAAAGTACATAAATAAATAAAAATAAAAGGGAGTACACAGAAGGTTTGAGATGCTAATTTACATAGAGGGGAGGAAGAGTGGTCAAAAGTTCTATCTAAACTTACAAAAATATTGAATAGCTGAACCAGTATTATAGCAAAATTTGGGGCAGGGTAAAGTGAAGGGGGTGGCATAAGTGAGATGAAGCCTCCCTTTCATAGTTGGGGGTTCATTAGGTAAATGTCAGGTGGTGACTGGCTAGAGCAGGGGTGGGGAGGCCCTTTTTCTGCCAAGGGCCATTTGGATATTTATAACATCATTCGAGGGCCATTCAAAATGATCAGCTTAAAAATTAGCCTGCTCTATTTAGTCAAACATTTAATTAACTCACCCCTAATGCGTTGGCAGGGCCAGACCAAATGATTCTGTGTGCCTTGTTCAGAGCAGGCCAGATGTTCCCCACCCTGGGCTAGAGGAATGACAACAAGGGTTAGGGTTCCTGTGGAGGTAACCACAAGAGCCGAAAACAAAAGCTGTTTAAAAAGTGAATGCCTCCGAAAGGGGAAGTGAGACAGGAGGGGAGGGTGGGGCCGAGGAATGTTGCTTTTAATTATAAACCCTTCTGTACTATAGTCTCTTTCTGAGATACTAAATTAATTAAATATATAAACAATTAAGCGGTTCATTCATTTTTTAAAAATCCATAGCCTGGATTGGAGTAGGAGGAGGATTTGCTCAGTTTCTCAGCTTTCCCCTCTGACCTGCTCATTCCTCAGGACAAAAGCAGCTTCGTGCTAGTCTTCCCTTTCAGGATTCTTGCCTTCTAGTTTGGACCTTTTTCAGGGGAACAAAGGATTGCAGATAAATCAATTTATTATAAGAGTTATACACGATCACTACGTTGCAATATGTAGAAAACCGAAAAAATACAAATAACTCCAGAAAAAAACTGCTAATATTTTACTGTTTGCTCACAATCACATATTTATCATATTGTACATATAATTTAACATTTTAATATAATAATAGTAAGCATTTTCTTATTTCTTATTTTAAGGTAATTTTTAATAATTTATATTTTGTCATGTTAACGATGTATTCCATTTATCCAGACCTGCCCACAAATGACCTCTATTAGAGGGTTATGATGTGCCTACATTTACTAATCTAACTTTTTTCCCTTCTCACCAGGGAGTAAGAGTGCAAAAATTCAGTCGGGGATATTTGGAAAGGGGTCTACATATTCACGACACAATGCTGAGAGACTTTTTAAAAAGCTGATACTCGACAAGATCTTGGATGAAGACTTATTTATCAATGCCAATGACCAACCCATTGCCTATGTGATGCTCGGAAGTAAAGCGCAAGCGTTACTAAATGGGCATTTAAAGGTATGGCATTTTTAATGTTTGTTTCATTGTATTATTTCACAGTGAGTAGACAAAAACATATTACTCTCTTTCCCAAAGCTTATGGATACTGGATGTAGTTGTACTATCTTACATGAACATATTATGCTCCTCTTAATTTGCAAAGAGACTTTAACATGGAACCCAAGTAATGCAATACTTATCAAAGTGAATTTAATGGGTTATCAGATCACTAAATCACCACGTATTTACTAAACACACATTTGTCAAGAAGTAGTTCTGTGCCAGGCACTGGGGACACAAAGATGGAGAACGCACAGCCCCTGTTCCCAAAGGGCTTACTATCCACTTGGCATAAAAGAAGTATCCCCCCAAAATGCAGTGAAGCATTAAATAAAGCCCCTATTTTGATGCAAGTGTGCACACGCACACACTTGTATGATTTCTCTCTCTCACTCTCTCCCCTCACTCAAAGGTAGACTTTATGGAGACGGAAAATTCCAGCCGTATCAAAAAACAAAAAGCCTTAGTGACGAAGGTTTCCCAGAGGGAAGAGGTTGTTAAGAAATGTCTTGGAGAACTTACGGAAGTGTGCAAATCCCTGGGGAAAGTTTTTGGTGTCCATTACTTCAATATCTTCAACACTGTCACTCTCAAGAAGCTTGCAGGTAGGTGTGTGTGAGCCTTCTGTTTCGTGGCATCAATTAATAGGCCCAAGGTCAGTCTCGCTAAGGAACTTTTTTAAGTGCATAAATGTATCTCAGGCTTTCGTATTATTTTTTTTTAATCTCTTAAAGCTCAGAGAAGCCATTTAAACTTATTCTTGAGATACTTTCCTCCAATGCTGGATGTGAGAATATGGATAATTGCAGTTTCCAATACCAACTGTTACTTAATGATTATGTGTCCATTTGTGACTGCCTTTATGAAATTTAGCTATGTTATTATAACAATGTCTTTGCAATGAGGAGCTAAGTTCCTTATGAAAAGAGATGATGTGTTATGCTTCTTTGAATCCGGATCAAGCACTCTTCTGTGTCTTCAGTTAATAAATGCTCTGAGTTATTGCCAAGGCTTCAGATAGCTCAACCAGAATTCTAATAGTAAAGTCCTTGGAAAATAAGTCGTTACATAGGTGACTAACTAGGACTGTACATTACCTTCCTAAAGTCCCATCATCCTCACCTTCTCTCTTCTCCATTCCCATTCCCAGCACCATAGATCATTATAGTACTTCATCAACTCTAAGATGCCATCTACTTTCAGTCTGTTATGTTATGAACTAGTAAGAAAAAATTCTGCTAATTCAACTGTAACATGGTGCTTTTGTTGAAAACTATTTTGACTTACTCTGCTTGTACATGAAAAATGCATAAAATTAAAGTGAGCTGATTTAGGTACTTGTAAAAATTCACATTCAAAGCCTGACTCTTCCAAATGACTTTTGAGTCAGTTTTCCATATCTTTGTTTTCCCGCGTGTCATTGAGAATGTTAGTGACAACGGCCTTCTTTAGTGTGTTCCATTATCTTCCCATCACTCATTCTGGTTCGGTGGTCGTGTTTTCTTGACGATACTACAGACTGCCAACGGAAGGCTGGACATCTCTCAGTGACACAGAGGTAACGCTTCATCCACTCTCGGCGTCTTCTCTTTTAAGTCGTGGAAAGCATTGGTCGGGGTGTGCAAGAAACTAGGAAATTGTGGCCATTTTCTCAAAAAGAGATATTTCTTTATCTGAGCCAAATGTATCCCCCATTACTCCGTTTCTGGGGTTTTCTGCATTCACAATCACCTTTTCAGCGCTAACCACGGTCTAGTTGTTTGTAGACATTTTCTGTGGCACGTGAGGAACCGCCCTGCAGTCGCGCTGTGGCCGTGCCAACAGTGCCAATGGCTGTGACTCAGTTCTCGCGTGCACAGGCGGCAGCAGCCGCAGCACAGCTACCATTCGACCGTCAGCACTTGTAAGACCTCAGCAGTCAAACCGTGACTAAGTGTCTTGGAGTTGATGAAATACAGTATTTTGTTCCTAGGCTCTTAGAGTAGTTTTCTAACTGGTCTCCTTACCTCCAGATATGAACATGATGTACATTTTAATCTTTCAAAACCTCTGTTAAAATGCCAACAGCTCTCCAGATAAAGTACAAAGTCTGTCGGGGATCTGCATTTCTACTTGCCTTTCCCACTTCGTCTTCCACTAACTCCCTCCGTAAACCTTCTAGTCTGTCCCAAAGGTCTGTTCCTTCTCCTCTAAACACAGAAATGATGTGAAAATCGAAGATTTGAAATCCACCCTTTGCTGAAGTCTATGTAGGAATTATTACTCCCTCACTCCCATAGCCAGTTCATCAATGACTCCTACAGACCAGCCTCCCAAACGCATCCAAATCCATCTCTTCTTCTCTACTGCTATATCCTCACTGGGCCCCACTGGGCTCCTAGTTTCTGGTCTTTCCCTTATAATCCGTTTTCCATACAGCAGCTAGAGTGATCTTTATAATGACAGGCTTGTCCGGCTACAAGACCGATGTACCATCTGTGTGCAGGGGACTCAGCAGCCTACTTGTTAAAGTCAGATTACCCGCTTCACCCCACAGACAGACAGACTAAAGGAAGAATGGGTTTGGGTTGGGGGTGTGTAACATTTCAATTACGGGCCCAGCTGTCAGATTACCCGCTTCACCCCACAGACAGACAAACTAAAGGAAGAATGGGTTTGGGTTGGGGTGTGTAACATTTCAGTTACGGGCCCAGCTGTTTTGGCTCTGTGGATAGAGCGTCGGCCTGCAGAATGACGGGTCTCAGGTTCGATTCTGGTCAAGAGCACATGCCCGGTTGCAGGCTCGATCCCCAGTAGGGGGCGTGCAGGAGGCAGCCGATCAATGACTCTCATCATTGATGTTTCTAGCTCTCTCTCCCTCTCCCTTCCTCTCTGCAATTAATAAAAATATATTTTTTAAAAAAATTCTTGTTTAAAAAAAAAGAATTCAGTTACAGTCTTTTTGAGTTGGACGTACAAGTCTGGAGTGCAAGGGAGAAGTCAGAGCTGGAAACATGACTGTGGACATTCTCCTAAATAGTCTTTATTGTGCGAGACGGCAAAGTCTGCTTAAACTCTGAGGCACAGCACACAGGTCCTCTCCGGCTACCCCGGTTACTCCATGTCTATTGCTCTCCCTCCCGCTCAGCCCTGACTTAACACTCCTTTGCTGCTGGATTGGAGGATGGGCTCCTACCCTCTGGGCCTGTCTGCTGCCTCTGTTGGCACCAACTGCCTTGCAGAAAATTGGCCCATGTGCCCAGCGCTCTGCACTTGGTTGGCACGTAACAAGCATGTGCTGAATGGGTGAATGAGCACAAGTTCAGTGGGTTTTCTGTTGGTGGTAATTTAAATTCCTGCTTTTATGTTCATGCACAGAGTCGTTATCTTCTGATCCTGAGGTTTTGCTTCAAATTGATGGTGTTACTGAAGATAAACTGGAAAAATACGGTGCCGAAGTGATTCCAATATTACAGAAATACTCCGAGTGGACGCTGCCAGGTTCAGTATACAGCCAGATATGTGTTTTCGGGAAGCCTGTCTTAATGTTAAGCGATGCATCTCACTGGATTAAATCTCTGTGGTTTCCGGGAGTGTTCATGCTTCCGACACCTTGTCACCCTGACGCTCAAGTGCTCAGGGCACCCTTCAGTGGTGTGCCAGGCACCTCTTGCAGGACACCGGTGCTTAGGCCCCCTGCAGGATGCCAGCTACCAATCCTGCTACTAGGACCCAAAGGAGGACCTTTGAGCCCAGAAGTTGCTGGTTCTGTTCAGGCAAATACCTGGGGAACCTATAGGGTTGGTGCAGCTCCGGGCCTGCCACCATCTCGCTCTGTGGTCTTGGCAGGCCACAAATAACTTCTTTGTGCTTCAGTTTCCTTATCTGAGGATGGAACATGTTATCTGAAAAGCATGTCTAAAGATAAAATGTAAGAGAGGAGTTTAAATATTTGGGAAAAATGAACATCTCCTCTAACATACTGCCTCCTCTAACATACTGCTGTGTGATAAGACACAACAGGCCAAGTTCCATGTTTTTCCTGTTTCTGTAAGGATCTCGGTAGGGGTTTTTCTTTTTTAGGCTAATGGAAATAGTAAACAGGCTGAGAAACGAGTGAGCATGTGTTTCAAGTTCTGTCTGTTCATAATCGTTTTCTATTCATTAACAAAATGCTGCAAAGTAAGGTTTTCATACATTCCTCAGTGTAGTCATTATTCCATTAAAGGCCTTGCTTTGACGAGAGTCCCTTGGTGGGAACGTCATGTTTGTTTACCGTAGTAACTTGTTGGGAAGGGTTTTCCCCCATGAGACAGGGCTGCTCTGTGCAAGCAGCCAGCCTGGTGATAATTGCTGCCACTATTGAGGGGCAGGCTGTGTGCCAACAGCTTTGTCTGTTTTGTATCACTCAGTCCTCACAACACCCATTTCACAGGTGGAAGTGGGTGAGGCCTTTTCATATCCCCGAAGTCCCACAGCTGGGATGACAGCGCTCTTTGCCCCAGCGACAGTGCCTTTCTGTGGGAACCAGTGTTGGAGGGACAAGGCCCGTCCTGTGCTTTCTACCGGGCAGCAGGGTAGCCTGAGGGTGAACCAAACCGGCCAGGAAATACCCCCCTTCAGAAAATGGGGGAATGAATTTATCCGGGAAGGTTTCATGTTCTTTCCCTGTGTTGGGATGCCAGTACCTGTGGAAGTTCCCATCTTCTTTAAGTGTGTGCTGCCATACAGACCCATTGCCTGCATGGTGTGTGAAATGTGCCAGAATATTATGCAAAGAGGTGTTTTTGTCTTTGAAGAGTAAAATATGGCCTGGAGGTGTCTGATACTCATTTACTAAATAACTGATGTTCCGAAGTAAGGTACAGAGCATAGTTTATGTTTCTCTTATATCGGGTTATTTTTTCAGCATATGTAAATTGACAAATAAAATTTATCTTTTATATAGCACATTATACTTTTAAAAGAGCTTAAGAGGATTAACTGCCCAAATAGTAACGGGTGTAGGTCATACACATAGAGTAGGAGCTAAACCTGAGGTCTCTAGCTGAGTTAAAGAGAATCACAGAT